AACTCCTGCTTCCCCCTCCTTCCTGTTACTGCCTCTGATACAGCAAGGAGAGGAGGAGAAGCAAGTAGTCAAGTAGTTGTCTTGACTACCCAAAAAGACTAGTTGGTATGCAGGAGCCTTGAGCCCTGTAAACCATAATTCCCCATAGATTCTTTCACAAGTTCAGCCGTCCTCCCCTGAGAAAGCTGAAGGCCCGCCACCAATAGGGAGGCACTGGAGCACTACAACCTTAGAAAAAAGGGCACAGGGAGTACAATCTGGGTTGCTGTGGGATTATCTACATTTTCCTAGTGGCATAAGTACTTTAGCTCCCCCAAGAGGCTGTAGCTATGCTGACAGGAGAAGCCCTCCCGTTGACATAGAATAGAATTGGAAGGGACCTCAGGAGATCATCTAGTCCAGTCCCCTGCCCTCCCAGCAGGACCAAGTGTTTTGCTTAAAAGAAGCACATGGGATCTTTTTCAGGGGAATAAGGAAACACGATTCATTTATTGATAATAGAACAAAGCAGCATATGCATTTACACTCTCTCTCTCTCTCTCTCTCTCTCTCTGGTGGAATAGTTACCAGTCTGTTGCTCAACCAATCAGCCAGATAGGTCAGGTGCGAGGAAGGAGCTGGGTTCTTGTCGGTCCGGACTGATGCTCCATAGTCTTAGCAGGACAAGACCCCGAAGAACCATAGAAGACACCCTATCCTTTATAGGATTTTCCTTCCATGCAAGTCCATGCATTTTGCCTTGTCAGGCCTTAATCAGTCACTCAGCATCACAATCAGTCTTCCTATGACATATGCTTATCTGGAAGACGTTCTCAGTCATTTGATGTCCATATGCTGATGACTCCTCGGGGGTGTTGTCTTTCCAGTGAAAGTTATCGATTCCTTATCAAGGGGTGCTTTCCACTAACTTCAGGGTTTGTCAATCTGCGCCAGTAGTCTGTGGCTGTGTCTAGACTGGCCAGTTTTTCCGGAAAATCAGCCGCTTTTCCGGAAAAACTTGCCAGCTGTCTACACTGGCCGCTTGAATTTCCGCAAAAGCACTGACTTCCTACTGTAAGAAATCAGTGCTTCTTGAGGAAATACTATTCTGCTCCTGTACAGGCAAAAGTCCCTTTTGCGCACACCTTTTGCGCAAAAGGGCCAGTGTAGACAGCTCAGATTTGTTTTCTGCAAAAAAGCCCCGATCGCGAAAATGGTGATCGGGGCATTTTTGCGGAAAAGCGCATCTAGATTGGCACGGACTCTTTTCCGCAAAAAGTGCTTTTGCAGAAAAGCATCCGTGCCAATCTAGACGCTCTGTTCCGAAAATCCTTTTAACGGGAAACTTTTCCGTCAAAAGCATTTCCGGAAAATCATGCCAATCTAGATGCAGCCTGTGTGTTCAATGTGCTTTCACTTAGTTGATAATTATTTGGTGCTTCTGAGTCTTTGGCCCCTCCTCTGACCATTTGAGCATGCAATGGCCTTCACACTTATCTTTCCTAAAACAATCTCTCTCTCTCATTCACACAAAGAATACAAGAAAAAGGAAAAAGAAAACACAAATTCAGTTTGGCTCCTATGAAACCTGTAATGAGGTGTTCCTCAAATTAACTAATTATAAAAATTCAAATAGGAAACTGCAAAATGTAAAAGCCTCTGCTGCAAAAGCAAAAAGTTGGAAATGTCTGTCCCTCAGTACCCAGACACAGCTAGATTCCCTTAAGGATGGGTACTGAGCTGCCTGGCCTTTCTGAGGCCTACATCTTTTATTTAAATTTAATCCAAACCTTTTGGTATAACATACATTCATTATAACTAACTAACTTATTAGTTACAAAATTCCAGGGCTACACAAGTACTATCTGTATCATACCTGACAGGTGTCTGTCTAACCTGTTCTTAAATATCTCCAGTGATGGAGATTCCATAACCCCTATAGGCAATTTATTCCAGTATTTAATAATCCTGACAGGAAACTTTTCCTAATGTCCAACCTAAACCTCCCTTGTTGCAATTTAACCCCATTGCTTCTTGTCCTAGCATCAATTTTTCTCCCTTCTCTTTGTAACACCTTTTTAAATACTTGAAACCTGCTATCATGTCCCCTCTCAGTCTTCTCTTTTCTAGACTAAACAAACCAAATTATTTCAGTCTTCCCTCATAGCACATGTCTTCTAGGCCTTTAATCATTATTGTTGCTCTTCTCTGGACCTTTGTCTAATTTCTCCTCATCTTTCTTGAAATGAGGTGCCCAGAACTGGACACAGTACTCCAACTGAGACCTAATCAATGCAGAGTAGAGCAGAATTACTTTGTGTGTGTTGCTCCTAGCACTCCTGTTAATGCATCCCAGAGTCATGTTTGCTTTTTTTGCAAAAGTATCATATTGTTGACTCATATTTAGCTTGTGGTCCACTATGACCCCTAGATCCCTTTCTGCAGTACTCCTTCTTAGATAGTCGCTTCCCATTTTGTATGTGTGAAATTGATTGTTCCTTCCTAAGTGGAGTACTTTGCATGTGTCCTGATTAAACTTCATCCTATTTACCCTATTTCTCTGGTTTGTCCAGATCATTTTGAATTATGACTCTAACCTCCAAAGTAGTTGCAATCCCTCCCAGATTGGGTATCATCTGCAAATTTAATAAGTGTACGTGCTGTGCTAATATCTAAATTGTTGATGAAGATATTGAACAGAACCGGACCCAAAACATACCTCTGCAGAACCCCACTTGTTATGTCCTTCCAACATGACTGTGAACCATTAATAATTACTCTCTGAGAATGGTTATCCAGCCAGTTATGCACCCACCTTATAGCAGCCCCATCTAAGTTGTATTTCCCTAGTTTATTGATAAGAAGTTAATGTGAGACTGTATCAAATGCTTTACTAAAGTCTAGATATACCATGTCCACTGCTTCTCCCTTATCCACAAGACTTGTTATCCCATCAAAGAAAGCTATCGGATTGGTTTGCCATGGCAGTTACCTATCACATTATCTTCCAGTTGTTTGCAGATGAATTCCTTAATTTAGGGCTACTCAATTTTGGAAGCTCCAGTGGTCACAATGATACTCACAGCACATGCTGACGGCTGCAACTTAAGTGTGGCTGCATATACATGCAAATATATATGCAAATATATGCAAATAGCTTCTTTCACACTGAAGGGCATGAATACAAAGCACTTCCCACAATGCCCCAGTACTCCCGGCACTCCTCTCTGGGGCTGGAAATGTGAACCCCTGTACCCATCTGTTCCAGTCAGCCCATACGTTTGCGTCTTTCAATGCTCATCCCACCTGGAAAATGCCTCATTGTTGTGGAGCATATTCCCAGTAGAGACCATGTTCAAAGGATCCCACCTGTAGGCCGCACGTTGAGCCCTGTGGAAATCCAAACTGCCCTGTGGGTCGCATACAAATAGGCCACGGGCCACATAAGACCCATAAGCCATGTGTTGAGTAGCCCTGCCTTAATTACTTGCTCCATTATCTTCCCTGACAAAGAAGTTAAACTGACTGGTCTAGTTTCCTAGGTTGTTCTTATTTCCCTTTTTATGAGTGGTCATTATGTTTGCCTTTTTCCAGTCTTCTGGAATCTCTCCCAACTTCCATGACTTTTCAAACATAACACTGTCTACACCAGGAGTTCCATTGGTATAACTTAATCACTCAAGAGTGTGGATCTTCCAGAGCCCTGAGCAATGTAGTTATCCCAACGTAAGTTTGTAGTGTACATCAGGGCTATACTTTGAGGGATTTTTTTCCACACATCCATGGTTAGAAGGGCCATTTGCCTTCTCTTTGATTTTGAAGACCATGGTATGACATCTTCTCTGCAGCCTCAAGTATGTATAGGTTTTCTTCTGACTTTGTCCCTTCCTCAGGAGACCCTAGTCCGGAGGCTAAATTACTAACACAAAATCAAGCAGAAAACTGTTATCTCCTATTTGGATAGTTTGTTGTCCTTATCAAGGGTCTGCATGGTATTATGACAGCCCAATCTGAAAGCTCTTTCTTAGACAACACTCCATGAATATTTTTCATTTGGAAGTCAGTCAGAGATTTCTTCGCCTCCCTCCCCACTCTCCCCCCCATCTCCTTCTGAGTAAAAGCTGCAGGACTGAGCCCTTAGACTTTGAGAGGTCAGCTGTATGGTTGGGAATTTTGGGCTTGACTCAACAAGAGAACTTCCATTGACTTCAACGGAAGGATTGTCTGTGAAGGGCTGGTGGAGCAGTGGGAATAAGGAGGGAAAAATTGTTCTTCTTGGCCTCTGAGGATAGGACAAGAAGCAACGGGCTTAAATTGCAGCAAGGGAGGTTTAGGTTGGACATTAGGAGGTTTAGGTTTGACAACCTCCTAATGGTCAGGATGGTTAAACACTGGAATAAGTTGTTATAGGGAGGTTGTGGAATCTCCATCTCTGGAGATATTTAAGAGCAGGTTAGATAGACAGCTATCAGGCATGGTCTAGATCAGTGGACTCCAACCTTTTTACACCGAAGATCACTTTTTAAATGACAGACCAAGCCAAGATCTACTGCCCCGCCCCTTCCTTGAAGCTCCACCCTCTCTATTCTCCTCCTCTCCATCATTTGCTATCCCCAATCCTTATACTGCTGCTTTAAAAAAAAATTCCCACCATTCCTCGCAGCTACTCACCTGTGCTGTTGCTCGGTGAGTAGCTGCTCCTCAAATGAGGAAATGTAATGTAAATGTACTGCGCAGGCGCGCAATTCAGAGAGGGCTCAAGAGCTACTCTTAGAGCCTCCGAGATCTACCAGTAGATCGTGATCTACTGGTTGGTGACCACGGGTCTATATGGTAGGGGGTCCTGCCATGAGGGCAGAGAACTGGACTCAATGACCTCTCAAGGTCCCTTCCAGTTCTAGTGTTCTATGATTCTGTGATTCTATGATTTCAGATATTAACACTTTTAATTTAAGAATTCAAACATTTTCCAGCGTGGTGGTCAATAAGATCAAACACAGGCTGCAGCATGTGATGAAAAAAATATTTTATTGGATAATTTTAAGGGCAGTATTTGCTGAAATGTGTTCCTAGAACATGGTAACATGGTCCACATTATCAAAAATCATTATTAACTGATGCTTTGGTATCTCAGTAGAGCAGCAAATGAATAACAGATAATAAATAAACAAAGGAGCTTTCTGATTTACAGGGTTTTAGAATATCATCTCCTTCAAAGTCATCCATCTTTTTCTGTTACCTTCAGTCCTTCAGGAGTGCACCATTTCCTGGAATTCTACCAAAGAATAATGGAGATGTAACAGCAGCATTAATAAAAAAAAATACATTGTGGGGAAAAACCCTGAAAACTACAGCTTTATTAAGAGTTTTCCAATTGGAAAGAACATAACACAATCAAGTGAAAAGAAGGCTAGAAGGGAAGGAAAAAATAGAAGAAATATATAAGATGTTGAACAAGTCTCTTGATTGTTATAAAGCAGGTTTCGCTTCTATCTCAGACTGACAAGAATTGTCATATAATTTTGGGATAACACTTATCTATAACGAGATTTATCTAAATTGTTTCTCTCAGATCAGTGCATCCAAGAAAATAGTCATGAAAGTTTTCCCTCTATTATTTGCTGTTTTTATTATAAAACCTAATGACGTTCACTATTTTATAGACCTCTTGGATGATTTTGGGGGTTCACCAGACCAATTTCACAACCCATTTTCCTATAGTTTAAATCCACACCTTCTTCCCAACATGGATTTCATTTTTAAAAGAAACACGTTTTCCTAGCTCAGTAGTCTCCAATCTTTTTAAGTACAAGATCACTTTTTGAATTCAAGTGCAATCCAAGATCCACCTCAAAACCAAACACACTTGCCCCGTCTCCTTCCCACCCCTTCTCTAAGGCCCTGCCCCTGCTTACTCCATCCTCCCCCATCATCACTCACTTTTATCAGACTGGGGGCAGAGGGCTGAGGTGTGGGAGAGGGGGAGGAAGACTCTGATCTTGGGCTAAAGGATTTGGTGAGTGGGAGGGGTTGTGAGCTGAGCCTGGGGCAGGGAGCTGAGATGCAGGGAGGGGGTTCAGGACTAGGGCTGGTGTTCGGAATGCAGGCTCCAGTTGTGCATTGCTTACCATGGGTGGCTTCTCAGTGGTGGTGCAGGGGACTAAGGCAGGCTTAACCGTACTCTGGCCCTGCACCACTCCCGAAAGCAGCCAGCAAACTCTCTTCATTCCTGTTCCTCCCTCCCCTCCCCCCCGCCCTGTGGAGATGGGGTACAGGGTGGCTGGAGGGGCACCCTGACATCAGCCCCCTCCTCTTTTTCCTGTGCTCTGTACTGCAAGCAAGAAGCTCCCAAGGGTGGAGGCAGCTCCAAGGCAGAGGGCAGGAGCAACACGGTAGTGTTGAGAGGGGCAGGTGAAGTGCTGGCACTTGATAGCCTTCTGGCCAAACTTGTCAGGATCACCTGTCAAAGGCTCCAAGATCTACCAGTAGATCCTGATCTACTGGTTGGTGACCACTGTCCTAGCTGAAAGAAAAGCTGTGTTAGGTATTAGAGCCACCAAGGCTGGTACAACTGAATGTTCCCTTTGTGGTATTTATACTATATTGTTGTTTGATCCTCCCAAATCCTTGTGTCCTTCTTTTTCATAATCTAAATTCTAAATGAAGTGGGAACCCAATAATACTGTGTGTTAATTTGAGTTAATGTCTGAAGCTATGATGTTTGAGTGGGTTTTAACTGAAGCAAAATAAGTTAAACCATCCTCTATTTAAATGAACTAAAAATAAATTAAAGAGCCTGATATTGCAGTCCTTGGGCAAAAATTGTACAGAGTTTTGCTTGGGTATGATATACAGTATTGGGCCTACATAACAGCATGGTAGCTTTTATGACATCACAATTCCTTAGATTCTGAGGGGCAGAATATTCTCTTGGCTTGTCTAGACTACTGGGAAGATTTGAAAGAAGATATGCAAATTTCGTGGGAATCTTCTGATCTCACTTTCAAAAGCTCTGCTTCCCTCTTAAGCTTGTGTGAATCATCCCATTGTTCTGACCATAAAATTCTCATTGAAGTAAACAGGCCCCATAATTAGAGCCCTGCAAATCCACAGATATCTTGCTTTATATCCACATCCACTGATATAGATGTGGATATCCGTGGTTCATTTCTGGAGATGCGGTTGTGTATACAATTTTTTTATCTAGAGCAGGGGGGAAAAATAACTTTTGGTCAGGGACTACTTAAACATTTTTTGAAGTGGCCCCAGGCCAGAAGGGGTGGGGCCAGAATGCTTCTGGGCTTCCCCAGCCCCAAACCATAATTGGTGGGGGATGGGGGCCAGAGCTGTGCGAAGCTTCCCTCGCCCTGCTCCCGCCCTGCGCGAGCGTACGGCACTTTGAAGTGCTTTGCGCTCCTCGCAGGGCAGAGGGGAGGGCAGAGAAAACTTTGTACACTCCTCCTGCCCCCAGGCCAATCAGGGCTTAGGGGTGGGGGAAGTGCACTTTCCCGCCCCCAGGCCCTTCTTGGCCTGGGGGGCGGGGGTGTGGCAGGGCCTCCGCAGGCCGGATCAACCCGCTTGGCGGGCCAGACCTGGCCTGCGGAGGCCCTTTTGGCCACGCTTGATGTAGTGCCATGCAAATTTGTGGATATCCACTTTGTATCTGTGGGAATCCATGTCCACAGATATGGATGCAGATATCTGAGGCTCATTTTTGCAGACATTGATGCAGATGTGGATACACATTTTGTATCCGGGCAGAGCTTTACCCATAATCACACATTCTCCTGCACATATTATTTAGTATTTTAATAACTTCATACCTTCAGCCCCAATTTTGCCATCCCCATCATGATCTGCAGCTGCCAAAAAACTCTTGGTTTCTGAAGCAGTTAATACTCTGGCTCCACTCTCAAACCGCTGGAGGAAATACCTAGAAGAAAAGATTCTCTGAGTGTGATTTTCATGGAAGACAATAATTTTTATGATAGGTGCATTATCAAGCCAATCAGCTTCTATAATCAGATTATCGACACCTTTTTGCCAAATCCCCCAAACAGAACCTGCACTTTCTATATTCCTGTTTTGTAAGTCCAGTCCTAACATGTTTGCACAACTTTGGGGGATGATATTTTTCTGTACCTACTGTCTCCTTTATTGCTAGTTTTTAGACCTTATTCTTTTCTCTATAAAGATTCCCATAGGACATCATTCAAAATCAGTACAAGGCTTTACTGTGCAGGCAGTCCCCAAGTTACGCGGATCCGACTTATGTCGGATCTGCAGTTACGAACGGGGCTTTTCTCGCCCCGGAGGACGCGAGCGGCGGGACGCCCAGATGCACCGCGATCCCGCTGCCCGCGTCCTCCAGGGCGAGAAAAGCTGCTCTGCGTCTCCCTGGTCTGCTGGGGGGAGAAGCCCCCCCAGCAGACCAGGGAGACGCGGAGCAAAGCCGC